GGAGGGGCCAGGCAGGGGCACAAAGGATGGGCTGAGACTCACCCCTGTGCCCACCGCAGCCTCGCAACCCACAGTTCCTTTCAAGGTGCACAAATTCGTGCACTGGGCCCTTAATGGAAGAATGAAGTAACATCTATCGTCTACTTTCAGAAATATATTACAATCCATTTAATCTTATAACTACCCAAGATATCTTTCTTTCTAATAGTTGAATTTATTTTTGACATAATAAATTTAGTTTAGTATCCTCCATGTAAAATACCTATGTTAGCTATTCTAACCAAGTATCATCTAAATCAGAGTTTAGTCCAAAGAGAGGAAATGGTACTGAGGAATGATTCTTGAAATATATGTGGTCAAATTTAAATAATGTGTGTTTTTTTTATTACTGTGTACTAAATTAACATAAATTTAGTGGCTAAAACAACACATTTTTATTATTTCACTAGTGACTAGGTGCTCGAAATTCATGCACATTAAAAGAAAATTAATTAGAGGAAATATTTTAATATTGCTATTTGACCTTTCTCTATAATAGAAGTGTTAGAGATGAAAGAAAATTAGTAAAATGTATATGAAAATCTCCTGCCTTTCAAAGTCTGGGGCACGCCGCAAGACCCAGAGTCAAGTCCCCACCCACCACTTGCACGTGCTTCGAAAAAACAGGAGACCCAGACCTGGCTGGCCCTACCCCCGTCAAGCCCTGCCGGGCAGGAGGGCGCAGCCTCAGGTCCCCCAGCGCTGGGGCGGGGGACACTGTGGCCTGAGGTCACCTTGTCAAGCCCCGCCAGGTGGGGGATGCGGCCTGAGGTCCCTCACCCTGGCTAGGTGCTATGCAGCCTCGGGTCCCTGTTGTGCGGTCGTGATGTTACGGCGTCCTGGCTAATTTGCATATTTGCATATTCCTCTAGTATATATCTAGAGGCCCAGTGCACAAAAATTTGTGCACTTAGGGGGCATCCCTCAGCAAGGCCTATGCCCTCCTGCAGTCTGGGACCCCTTGAAGGATGTCCACTTGCTGGCTTAGGCCCGCTCCCTGGGGAATCGGGCCCAAGCTGGCAGTCAGACATCCCTCTGGCAGCCCGGGAGCCCCTGGGGGATGTCCATTTGCCAGCGGGGAGCAGGCCTAAGCTGCAGTCAGACATCCTTAGCGCTGCTGAGGAGGTGGGAAAGGCTCCCACCACCACCGCTGTACTGGCAGCTGTCAGCCTGGCTTGTGGCTGAGCAGAGCTCCCCCTGTGGGAGCGCACTGACCACCAGGGGGCAGCTCCTGCATTGAGTGTCTGCCCCCTGGTGGTCAGTGTGTGTCATAGTGACCAGCCATTCCCAGTCGTTCTGCTGTTAGGGTGTATTTGCATATTACCCTTTTATTATATAGGAGTGCCTGGCCAGCCTGGGTGAGGGGCTGATGGATGTTTGCAGCTGGTCACACTCCCTTCAGGGTGGGGGTCCCCACTGTGGTGCCTGGCCAGCCTGGGTGAGGGGCTGATGGCTGTTTTCAAGCTGGCCACACCCGCTTTAGGGTGGGGGGTCCCCACTGGGGTGCCTGGCCTGTCTGGGTGAGGTGCTGAGGGCCGTTTTCAGGCTGGCTAAGCCACCCGGCGACGGAAGCTCCCAGCCTCTTCTTTTTTTCTTTCTTTTTTTTTTATTATTCTGGGATTTATTTACCTTCTATAATTGAAACTTTGTAGCCTTGAGAGGACCTCAGAGTCGGCCAGGGTGGGTGGGAGGGAAACCTCCTGCTCACTCCAGCTTTGTGGCCACGGCCAGCTGAAAGCAGGTATCTGGGGTTTATTTACCTTCTATAATTGAAACTTTGTTGCTTTGGGTGGAGCTCAGAGCCTGCTGCGGCAAGCGGGAAGCTTGGCTTCCTCCATCATTTGGGCAACCAAGCCTCCTGCTCGCTACAGCTCCGTGGCTGCCGGCCGCCATCTTGGTTGGGTTAATTTGCAAATGGTCGCTCTAATTGGCTGGTGGGCGTGGCTTAAGGCATAGCAAAGGTATGGACAATTTGCATGTTTGTCTTTTATTAGTGTAGATAGGTGATTCCTGTGGATTAGGAGTCCAGGCACAGATTAGGTGGGTCCTCTGTTCAAGGGTTTTATAGGCTGTAGTCAAAAGTGTCAGCCTGGGCTGTAGTGTCATCTGAGTCTTAGAGTCCTTTTCCAAGGTCATGTGCTTGTTAGCATAATTTATTTCCTTGAAATGGTAGGACTAAGGTACCTTTTTGTTTGTTTGTTTTCAGCTTCTAGAGGCCACCTGCCAGTATGGCAGCTTGCTTCTTTTCATAGGCCACTCAAAGTATGGCAGCTTGCTTCTTCAAAGTCACCAAGGAAGACTTTCTCCCTGCTTCTGCTAGATAGCGTTTTATGTGTATAATACTTGTACATTGTCATATATATATATATTTTTTAAATATATTTTATTGATTTTTTACAGAGAGGAAGGGAGAGGGATAGAGAGTTAGAAACATCGATGAGAGAGAAACATCGATCAGCTGCCTCCTGCACACCCCCTACTAGGGATGTGCCCGCAACCAAGGTACATGCCCTTGACCGGAATCGAACCTGGCACCTTTCAGTCCGCAGGCTGACGCCCTATCCACTGAGCCAAACCAGTCAGGGCTGTACATTGTCATATATATAATCCTAATGGAATCACAGGAGTGACTTCCCATCACCTTTGTCATATGCTATTCATGAGAAGAGATCACAGGTCCCACATGCATACTGGGGGAGGGGATTATACAGGGCCTATCCTCAGTGCTGATGAGGGTGTATCTACTACTTAATGCTAATGTGATTTGGGATTTATAAGTGCTAAGTAAGGATTTTCATGATAATACTTTAAAATCCAGATTATCTTAAAAGTTGGTCTGGTGGGGAGGAAAATAGGGGCAGAAAAGGGATATACAAAAACAGTAGTTCATTCTTATCCATAGTTTCAATTATCTGTGGTCAACTATGGTCTGAAAATATTACATGGAAAAGTTTCAGAAATAAACAGCTCTAGCTTTAAATTGCCTGCCATTCTGAGTAGTGTGATGAAATCTTGCACTGTTCTGCTTCATCCCAATCCGGGATGTGAATCATCCCTTTGTTCAGGGATAATTCAGTGTATCCATGCTTTAGTTACTTAGTAGCTGTCTGGGTTATCAATCTACTGTTGTGGCTTTGCATTGCTTGTGTTCAAGTAACCCGAATTTTACTTAATAATGGCCCCAATGTGCAAGAATAGTGATGCTGGCAATTCAGATATGCCAAAGAGGAGCCATAAAGGGCTTCCTTTAAGTGAAAAGGTATGTATGTATAGGAGAAACATAGTATATATAATGTTTGGTACTATTTGCAGTTTTGAGCATCTATTGGGGGTCTTGGAACATATCCCCAGTTGAAAAGGGGGGACTATTGTAGTCTAAAAGTGTTTCATTTTACCAAATGACAAAAAAGAGAATAGCATATCTTCATAAGGAATATAGTTTTTTATATAATCATGAAAAAAATAGGAGTTTGATGTTTTGAGTGTCAGGAATGGGAAGGTAAGCAATAGTAGAGTGAAAAAGCACAGTACAACTTTAAAGTCACCAAGGAGAGGGGAGAAAAGAAATGGTCATTTGATCAAACAAACAAAAATTAGAACTATCACTAATATAACTTAAAATATAAAATAAGATGGAAGGAATAAAGGTCAGGTTGTTACACTAAATAAGTATGAATGAATTGAATTCCTCTACTAAGAGACTATCAGATTTGGTTCAATAATAAAAATTCACCTATATGTTTTAAGGAACACTTAAAACAAGTTTTAAAATAAAAGTTTGTTAAAGAATTAGATAGGCTAATGTAAATAAAAATAAAATAGTGCAATTTTAATATTAGACAAAATGGAATTTAAGGTTAAAATAAAAGTTGAACAGAGGGTATAGAAGAACATACAATGACATGAACAATTTATGAAGAAGATAGGAAAATTAAACAACTAGTAACTAAAATATGTAAGAAAAAATGAGATTTTCATTCAAACAATACAGTTAGACTGGGAAATTTAGACAGCTCTAGCAAACAAAAAGTAAGAGCATAGGAATTTGATTATATAGCCAGCTTAGTATATAACACTTTACATTGTTCAAATAAAGCGAGTGGATATGTATATTATACACACAAACATATGCATATATATGACTACCCCAATTTACACATTTCCTATTATGAAACATTTAGATGGCTTTCATTTTAAATTTTTGTTTTCTGTTTCTATTTTAAACAGTACTACTATAATTGTTCTTTTACCTATAGCTTTGCCCATTTTTGTGAATATTTTTGTGAACAAACTCATTTTGAGTCGAAGAGTATTATAATTATAGGTATTGTCAAATTTTCTTCAATCATTTTACATTTCTACCTAAAATATGAGAATTCCTGTGTACCTTTAAACATCATTAACCCTGGGTATTATCAATTTTTTAAATCTTTGCCAATCTAGTAGCCTAGTTCTTCATTGGCATTTTTTTAATTATTAGCACAAATATGTCAACTTTTTAAAAAAAATGTTTTGTCTGAAAGCATTATTAGTGTTCTAGAAGGTAATATTCTTTCCACTGCAAAGTATCAGTCAACTAAACATTTATATGTCTTTAATTTTGTCTAATATCTTTATACAGTATTGCCCTCCAACACACCAAACCTGCGCAGGACCAAGAGGATACGATTGAAACCTTTGGAATACTGGCGGGGGGAGCGAGTAGATTATCAAGAAAGGAAATCGGGTAAAATTTACACTCTAATGTATAAGAGTAAAAAATGATCTTGAAGATTGCTGGTTTACTTGTATACATTAAGTGCTAAGCATTGTTCTACATAATTATTCATCATATCCCCATAATGTAACAGGAATAGATTGAAATCCAGATTTCTCTAATTACTATAGAGATGCTGATTTCTTTTTCTTTTTGGTAGTAATTTGTGCAGCTTTATAGAGTGTTATTATTTCAATACTATGTAACAAGATTTCTAATTTCATAAAATTAAGCATAAATCAGAACATGAGAAAATTATAACTGGCAAAGATTAAGTATTCCTTTATTATTAATCTCACTAGAGGCCTGGTGCACAAAATTGGTGCACGAAATTGCTGCACGGGTCTGGAGGGGGGGGTTCCTCAGCCCAACCTGCACCCTCTCCAATCCGGGAACCCTCGGGGAATGTCCTCCTGACGGCTTAGGCCTGCTCCCCATGGTTCTCTGCTGTCTGTGGGGCCCGCTTGGCTGCTCCCGGGTTGCCACAGGCAACGGCAAGTGGGCCCTGCTGTGCGCGGTCTGCGGGGCCCGCTTGTCTGCTCCCGGGTTGCCACGGCGACAGCCAAGCAGGCCCTGCCCTCAGTGGCCGCCCCCCGGGACTGGAGCACTCCAGCAGGGCTGAGAGTACTGGGTACTGCCATCTTGTGGCTATGGGCGCCACCATCTTTGTGTCAGAGTGATGGTTAATTTGCATATTACTCTTTTATTAGATAGGATTCCATTTCATCATCATATATTTCTACAGCAATGGTAGAGGGCGGACATGAAAGTATAGTCAGTGTTATCCTGCAGTTATTTCTTTTCTTTGATGGATAAATCTAAAGTCAAAGTACTAAACTCAGATGTGGATTGCTATAATTATTTCATTGCTGCCTTTTGTTTGTTATAAACCTTCACTGATGACTATTGTTTTTAAGCAACAGAGGTCATTTAATCATTTTTTTCCATTTAATCATTTAATTAGTGCTTTCTAGATTTAGGATAGTAGAGACATTAGTGAAATGGGTTGGTATTTATGTTATTTGAAGTACTAGTTATAGAATATAGGAATAATAATATATTCTTTTGTACTTTGTAAAGAAATTGCTGTAATAATTTAAAGAGTTCTGCTTCAAAGTTTTCACTTTCCCAGGTATAATACTTTTATCTTTTTTTTGTTATTAAATTTCAGGAGGATTTGTGATCGGTGGAATATTGTCTCCCGAAACAGTATCGTCTAAAAGAAAGGCAAAAGGAGATACGAAAAAAGCCAAGCAGATAGTTAATAGGAAAAGGATCTGTCTTGATAACGATGAAAGAAGTATGAACTTATTTCTGAAAATAACGTTTAGATTATTTTATAAATAACAGTGCTTTGAAAAGTATCTTTTTTCTAATTTTGAAATGACCTATGAAAACTTCAGGTGTTAGGGTAAATCACTTTTTATTGGTTTTTATAGAGGAAGGAAGGGAGAGAAAGAAACATCAATGTGAGAGTGAAACATCAACTGGCTGCCTCCTACATGCCCCCTACTGGTGATTGAGCCTGCAAGTTGGGCATGTGCTCTGATTGGGAATCCAGCTTACAACCTTTTTGTGCACAGGGAGACACCCAACCAACTGAACCACACTGGCCAGGGCGGGTAAATTCACTTTTTAATGTCCTCTATTCCCCCCACCCCCAAATTTTGAAACTAAACTTATTTAATTTTTTTTTTAAATTAAATCTTTATTGTTCAGATTATTACATTAGTTACTCTTTTTTCCCACCATAACTCCCCTCCACCCAGTTCTAACCCCACCCTCTGCCCTCACTCCCTACCCACTGTCCTCATCCATAGGTGCACGATTATTGTCTCATCTCTTCACTCACCCCTACACCCCTTCCCCCCCCCCCCAAGAATAGTCAGTCCATTCCCTTTCTATGTCCCTGATTCTATTACAATCACCAGTTCATCAGATTATTTATTCACTTGATTTTTAGATTCACTTGTTGATAGATGTGTATTTCTTGTTCATAATTTGTATCTTTACCTTTTTCTTCTTCTTCCTCTTCTTAAAGGATACCTTTCAGCATTTCATATAATACTGGTTTGGTGGTGATGAACTCCTTTAGCTTTTTCTTATCTGTGAAGCTCTTTATCTGGCCTTCACTTCTGAATGATAGCTTTGCTGGATAAAGTAGTCTTGGTTGTAGGTTCTTGGTATTCATCACTTTGAATATTTCTTGCCACTCCCTTCTGGCCTGCATAGTTTCTGTTGAGAAATCAGCTGACAGTCGTATGGGTACACCCTTGTAGGTAATTGATTTTCTTTCTCTTGCTGCTTTTAGGATTCTCTCTTTGTCTTTTGCTCTTGGCATTTTAATTATGATGTGTCTTGGTGTGGTCCTCTTTGGATTCCTTTTGTTTGGGGTTCTCTGCGCTTCCTGGACTTGGAAGTCTATTCCTTTCACCAGGTAGGGGAAGTTTTCTGTCATTATTTCTTCAGATAGGTTTTTAATATCTTGCTCTCTCTCATCTTCTGGCACCCCTATAATTCGGATGTTGGTACGCTTGAAGCTGTCCCAGAGGCTCCTTACACTATCTTCGTATTTTTGGATTCTTTTTTCATTTTGCTTTTCCGGTTGGGTGTTTTTTGCTTCTTCGTATTTCAAATCTTTGACTGATCTTGCGACCCTCTGGTCTGCTGTGGGAGTCTGTATATATTCTTTATTTCAGTCAGTGTATGCTTAATTTCTAGTTGGTCCCTTTATCACAACATCAAAGGGTCTCATTAGATTTCTTGAGGGATCTCACTACATTTTATCGGCGGTCTCACCAGTCTTCTTGAAGATCTCACTACATTTATCGGCGGTCTCACCCAGTCTTTTTGAGGGCCTTATTAAATTTATTGGCGGCTTTCTAGACAGTTCTTTAAAGACCTTAAAAGTGTGGTTTTGAACTCTATATCCAACAGTTTGCTTGCCTCCAATTCTGTCGTTTGTGTCCTGTTTCTTTGTCTCGGCATTTCTTATGCTTCGCTGTGTCGATAGAGTGCCTTTCTATGCTAAGTGTACCAATTACCTGAGGTAGACACTCTTGGTGCACCCCCTTGTGGGCTTTGTGCACAGTCTTGTTATAGTTAAGCCTTGATTGTTGTAGTTATCACTGTGAGGAATTGACCTCCAGGCCAATTGGCTGTGAGAATCAGCTGTGTCTGTGGTGGGAGAACTTTTGTGCTGGAGACACTCTTCTGGGGCTAGACTTGCTTCAATGGGGCTTTGGTGCTCACTGAATCTGCCCCCTGAGTGTGTCTTTTATGGTTCCAGGGAGCTGCAAACTGGATGGTCCCACTCTGACCTCTGGGCTTCCTGGCTCCTGGATCTCTAGGGAGGTGCTAATCTAGCCTTTGCCTGAGGCTGTCCAGCAAAAGCCTCCCTGCAGGGCTTGGGCGGGGTGGGTCCCACGGGATCAACAGGGCGGGGTTAGCAATTATGGCTGCTCTCAGTCTTGCCCTCAGAGGCTCTGCTTCTCAGTGTCCCGGTAATCGCTGCAAGCCCCTCGGAGAGAAAGCTGCCCTAGGGTTCTGAGCGATGCCAGACAGTCCCGCTTCTCCCGTATGAGTCTGGGTCCCTAGAGACTCGCCCGGAACTGGAGCTCAGAGCCTGAGACTCCCTCCCGATTGAAAACGACAACCACGCCCTCAGCCTCCAGCCGGCTCCTGCATGCACTCCGCACCTTAGTATTTTACTTCAGCACTGCGCCTCCTCTGAGCCTCGGTATGCTTTTCTCTTTCCTCCTAGTTGTAGAACTTCCACTCAGCCAGCCTTCCTGTGGTTCCGTGTGATGTCCGTTCAGTCTTTTAGTTGTATATTTGAAGTGGTTGTTCGAGGCAGCAAACTCCCTGTTTACCTATGCCGCCATCTTGGTTTCTCCTTAATTTTTTTTTTTTTAATTTTTAGATTCTTTAATGTATTTTTCAATTACAGTTGACATTCAATATTATATTGATTTCAGGTCAACAGTATATAGTGGTTAGATATTTATATAACTTAGGAAATGATCCCCGATAAGCCTAGTACTCTACTGGCACCATATAAAATTATTACAATCTTATTGACTATATTCCCTATGTTGTATTTTACATCCCACGACATCTTTTATAACTATCAATTTGTACTTTTTAATTCCTTCATCTTTTTTACCTAGCCTCCTACTGACATCACCCCATCCCCCACCCCCCAAATCTGGCAACAATCAGTGTCTATTTCTGTTGTTCATTTGTTTTTGTTTTTAATTTTTTTTCTTTATTGATTAAGGTATTAAATATGTGTCCTTATCCCCCCTTT